TGATCGAGCCACGTATTCCACAGGGTATAGTTTTCAAAGATCGGTATCATGAACATCTTTGGTTTTCAAAGAATGGAATTCAATCTTTTCAAGATTGATCAAGCGAGGTATTTCAAGGGTGTAGTTAATACAACAAGTTGAGTCATTCAAGGATGTGAGTCACAAGATACAAAGATAGTGTTTGCGACTTATCGTTGCCAATCGTAGATTTTCTTTATTCAATGTTTCACTCTTTGGAAGTTACTCAAGGAGTCATTGTCCTAAGAATTAGTCGTTTTGACTTTTCGTCTCGGATTTGATCGTATTTCAAGACAGCGAATCTAACTATTCATTGGTCTCAATATGTCACATTGTCAGTAGACTACAGTATTGATGAGTAAACTTTTGTCTGTAGATAGTTGAAGCGAATTCATTTTTCTGTACGTATTTTGGCTGGTGATAATTACTTTTCCATCAATGGTCAGGTTCCAGAGACTATATATATCATGATTATGGGAAGAGTATCTCACATTCTCACATTATGGAAGGAACTTCTCGAACACTTCCTTACACCATAAGATTCGTTGGTCTTCTTGGTAGTCATTGTCTTGGTAGAAATCCAAAGTTTATGGCTACTGCAGTAGATTTAGGAAGAGAATTGATAAGGCAAAGAATTAGTCTTGCTTATGGAGGAGGCAACGTTGGCCTACAAGGAGCTGCTGCTTCAACAGTCTTTACCAATGGTGGTCTCGTTAGAGGTTTCATTCCAGGGTACATAGCAACACGACGGGTCTACGGACCTACATATGGCGCAGAGCACACAGTTTCCAGCAATTACTACAAATATTTTGAGATGAATCATGCTGTGGAAGCTTTCATTCTTCTTCCCGGAGGAGTTGACACTATGGAAGGTTTGTTTACCTTGATCTCGTGGGCTTCTGAAGGGTTACACAATAGACCCATTGGTCTTTTAAACATTGACGTTTATTTCAATAACCTTCTCAAATTCTTAGACGATGCGGTGAGACAGAACTTCATGGCTTCTAGTCAGAGGAAACTTTTTATTTCTTCTTTCTTTGTTGACGAGCTTTTAGACAAACTAGAGTTTGCTAAAGCTTTTCCGGGTCCAGGAGCCGGTTACGACGAGTTTGCAAATCCCGAGAGATTAGACCTAGAATTGCATCTGTAACTTTCCTCATGTAATCTAAGTTGCATTCATGTTGAAATAATATCGTCCTTGAACATTACGAGTTAGTCATAAATATTATTCTAAGCTGTATGGTCAGTGCAACTACATTTTCTTCATTCTTCAGTCTTTCACTGTTGGTGTTACTGTTTTACGTCTCGTTCTGTATTTTACGTCAAATGAATCAATCGATTTGTCTTGCTAGCATCACTTTGCTTCACTTAGTCAATTCAGACTACATCGACATTTTTATGATAAACAACTAAGTCATTAGTCGCTTCATAGCAAGGCATTAGTTCAGTCAACAAGGTCGAGATGTCCGTAGCTTTTAACAAATAGGTTCTTCGAACAAATCGTCTATACGTAGTAAAGAGTAGCGATTCTTGATCGTCAGTTTGTCCATCATTCTTAACAGGGATGTGATGGTATCTTGACCGTAAGTCAATCTTAGAGAATACAATGGATCCTCTAAGCTGATCAAATAAGTCATGACACGAAGTAAAGGATAACGAATTGTTCAACTGACAGTAGTTGATATAGAGTCTTATTGATTCTTCCTTACTCACGTTTGAACAGAACAGATACTCTCCGATAGAGGAAACACTTTGTCAGATGATTCCTTCTTAGGCAATCTTTATAGTTGAGTTTTTTTTCAATGGAAACATATTCAATACAGAGTTACGAATATTGGTCCTCTCGAGGATCAAGATTGACAGAGTTTTCAATTACTTGGAATGGTGAAACATAAGGAAGTTCATATTAGAGGGGTGACATACTTTCGGTACGTTCCTTTAGCTTAGATGTTTCTTTTTGGGTATCACACGAATAGACTTCACACTTGAGATGTTTTCGTATATATATTCGAGATGAACTTGGTCGGTTTAGAAATCAGCTTTGCTTTCACCTCTATAAGGTTACCATCATTGGTCTTCAGTTGAGGAATTCTTCATCACAAGTTGACAACAGCAACGACGTTCAGTCAGTTAAT